AAAAGCTGACGAACTCTTCACAGTTACTTTCTGAAGGAAATACTTAGAACAATTTCCCCCAAATGTTTTAAATTTAATTCAATATGGTAACTTCGTTATTGTCTTTTCCATGACTAAATTTCTAAGCCTATATTATTTGGAAATGATACCTATGCAGCATCTTGTGGTCTCATGATCACAATTTATGACTTTTTTTTTTTGCTAGAAACTGGTGTTTACTTCTGATTTCTGGCAAAAAAAAATAAATGCCATTGGATACAATGGGTTTACTTAATGACTGGGGAAAAAAAAAAGGTTTGTAAAGGTGGGCACAGTAACATGACTCGCTTAATGACCAGCATGACTTGCAATCATAATTCTTGGCTCATTTATGGTTGAAATTCAAGGACTACTTGTATTCCAATATTTTTTCCCTTCTTCAAATAAAAGGCCAATCATAATTCAGAAGATTTCAAAACCCCAAACTTTCACTTACTTTATCTTCCACTGCTGCCTCCTCATTAGAAACTGATTTTGAAACCATCTTTTTCTTTATCAGAGGCATCTGAGCAGTCTAAGAAAGAGAGTCTTAGCATTAAGATTACCTTGTAATTCAACTTTAAAAATAAACACGTTAACTAATAGTCTTCAAAACAATTGGCATATTGAGTTTGTCTTGAAGCTGTGAAACTCAGTACAAACAGTTTTCATTAAAAATAGGGTGAAAGTACTAGAAATAAAATAACATAAAACCCTAAATTTGATTCCTAGTTAGGAATAACGGAGCTAGTCCTAGTTCTAGTCCTTTCCTCCCACTTCCTATGTTATTTATTGTTTCTATTTTATAAATCAGTTCTACCTTCTTCATCTGGAAGTTTTCTAATTCCTTGCCATGGGGGACAAGACAGAAATGTATAACTTCTTTATAAGATTTCACCTGAAGAGCGAAGACTAATATCGGCTTGCATGATACAAGTGTCTTTTTAAGAAAGTTATAAGTGGCTGTCAATCAGAGTTGCCAATGGGGTTTCCTACCACCCCCCCCAAGATTTCATGCTCAAATAAACCCAGATTCTAGACAAAAAAAATAAATCCAGATATCCCAATAAATCAGTTTTAAACTAAATTATTACCTACTTAATACGTACAATATAATGGATAGAAAATACTTAGATTTCATTAAATTTTAAAATCCTAGAAACCCACAGATGGAAAAACCCACACCTGTGTTTAAAAACCCAGCACTAGTAACTCTGATGCCAATCTTTTGAGTCCATAGGGAGCCACAAGTGTCTCATATCTCCAATTATCTGATGACAATATAACCTTTGTATTCTAACTTAAGGCATTTACATTTATGGTCAGTATGCAATAATCACGTTTATGCCTCATTCTTCTCATTATGCTAAGTATTATTCATAAAAAAAAAGAACATTCACTTACAAATCCGGGGAAATCATAATCTATTCCTTTCTCAGCCAGACTTTTTCGCAACTTGTCCTCCTTTTTCAACAGCCTCTCAGCCATCTTTTCTTTCTCCTGTGCTGTTCGATTCCGGTTGTAGTGTTTTACTGCTGGATAGGATGGCTTTTTGAACTTTTGCTCAGAACCTTTAAAGAGGTTTTCATGTACTCTTTCTGCTGGCATAAGCTCACCTGTAACATGCAATCAAGGCAATAGCAGCCGTGAGAAACAGGGCAAGGCCATTATAAGAGCTTCCACTTTACTTGCGCTCTCCAAAAATATTTTAAATAGCAACAGAAATTGTCCTCAAGTCCATTCTACTAAACACAGAATATCAAGGCATTATTGCTTCAGGCAAAAAATGAGATATGATCACTGCTTCCCCTTGCGTTCTGCCTCTCGTTTCTCTCTTGCACATGGGCTATATATTTTAATTTTTGATTGTAACTGGAGTTTATTTTAATATTATTTCCAATTTTTAGCCATACAAATTGACTAAATAAATATGATTACTTTTATACTATATTATTACACTGCATTCCAATATCTCAGGGATTGCCACAAAGAAGAGGGAGTCAAGCTATTCTCCAAAGCACCTGAGGGCAGGACAAGAAGCAACAGATGGAAACTAACTGAAGAGAGAAGCAACCTAGAACTAAGGAGAAACTTCCTGACAGTTAGAACAATTAATCAACCTGCCTCCGGAAGCTGTGAATGCTCCAACACTGGAAGTTTTTAAGAAGACATTGGACAGCCATTTATCTGAAATGGTTTAGGGTTTCCTGCCTGAGCAGGGAGTTGGACTAGATGACCTCCAAGGTCCCTTCCAACTCTATTATTGTTGTTGTTGTTGTTGTATATTGTAATACTATTATTACTGCCCTTGTAAACCCCTATAGCCAGGCTAGATTGAGGGGGTGTATAACTTCCATAAAGAAATAAATTCATCTGCTAGTGCTTCCAAGCATCTATACAAACAGATAAATCAATAAAACACTTCGGCAAGATCAAGGATGATTTAAATGTTGTATGGTGTTCAATCATTTTCCCGTTACTAACTATCAATACAAATTGAATATAATCTATCAGTCTGTTGGATAAGCTGTAAAAAAAAGGAAAAGCTATATTGGGGGGTTTGGATTATATTTCAAAGCAGACAATATAATGGAGAATAAAGCTGCAGACATGCCTAATCTCAATGCAAAATATTAATTATACTGCATTGTTTATAAAATTTATTGATGGCATCAATCCCAAAGGACTAACTAAACAATGGACAGCTCTAAAATATATGACACAATTAATATATGTTAAAAAGTGCTTGTAGCTACGCAATCAATTCTCAAAGGCCTTTCAAAAATAGTCAAGTTGTGCCTTCTCTTCAAAAGATTATGAAAGTGAAAGCTACCCTCATCTTACAGAGCAGATTGTTCCAAAAAAAGGGAATCCCCATGGAAACACCTGCTGTTACATTCCCTCCCTTCACACTATGGACTAGGCAGGTAAAATATACCAGGGAATAATAATGATCCTTGCAAAAAAGAGTAGGAAAAAAAATTAGGAAAAAAGAAAATGAGAGAATGAGAAATTGTAAAGGAAAAAAAGGGACTTTTAATGGGGTAATTTCAACATAAGTGACTCTTTCATGGAACTGCTATATTTAACAAACTGGGATATACTCACATTTCAAGAGTTTTTCACGGATAAGGTAATTGTTCATGGTATCTGCAGCTATCTTTGCAATTTCATCATATTCAAATTCCACAAAAGCATAACCTTTGCTACCTCCTGTCTATCAAAGAGAAAGATACAAAAATAAAAAAAATGCAATACTTTTATAAATGTAGCTGAATGATTTTTTTTTCTTTGCTATTACCATTAGTAAAGCAGCCCTTTTCCCAATTTGTTTTACAACAACCCTGCACAGTATGTTAGACTGGGAAAACAACTGACCCAAAGTCACCCAGTGACAATCCCAAAAAGTTTTTTCGGACCTATGAAATGCAAAACGTTTTTAGTTATCACTAATATGCACTGTCCAAAAAACAGGGAATCATCATTAAAGTTAATTCAAATTAGAGCAAGGTTTTGATAGCTTCTAGCCTAAAAATATATTATCCTGTAAGAAGGAATGCCATTGGAAAAGTAAGCAGTACAAGGCTTGGATTAAGTGGCTAGATCAGAATTAGCCTCAAAACTGCAAAATAGTTATTTCATATGTAGGACTCTAAATAGACTCTCCCACATATAGCTTGTAATTGTTCTAATTGCTTTAATGGCTTTGTTTTACTTGCTCTGACAGTTTTTGGTTTCTTCTTGTGTGCCCCATCCAGAATCACCTACATGAAATGGGTGACTGAATATTACCCCCTTAGTCATGGAAACTTTTTTGGGTAACTCTCTGAGTCAGCCATTCCCTCTCAACCTTACCTATCCCACAACGTTGTCGTGGAGGAAAAAATTGGCGAAGGCTGCTATATGACTTGCCTGGAGTTTCCCAGGATAACTACCCAACCGACACAGAGACAGAGCGAAAAAGCCAGTTTGGTGTAGTGGTCAAGGTGCTGGCCTAGAAACCATGAGAAAATGGGTTCTAGGCTCCCTTAGGCATGAAAATCAGCTAGGAGACTTTAGGTCAATCACCAGGAGACTGTGAGTTCTAATCCCGCTTTAGACAGAAAAGCTGGCTGAATGACTTTGGGCCAATCCTCAGGAGACTGTGAGTTCTAATCCCGCCTTAGACAGAAAAGCTGGCTGAATGACTTTGGGCCAATCACCAGGAGACTGTGAGTTCTAATCCCGCCTTAGACAGAAAAGCTGGCTGAATGACTTTGGGCCAATCACCAGGAGACTGTGAGTTCTAATCCCGCCTTAGACAGAAAAGCTGGCTGAATGACTTTGGGCCAATCACCAGGAGACTGAGTTCTAATCCCGCCTTAGACAGAAAAGCTGGCTGAATGACTTTGGGCCAATCCTCAGGAGACTGTGAGTTCTAATCCCGCCTTAGACAGAAAAGCTGGCTGAATGACTTTGGGCCAATCACCAGGAGACTGTGAGTTCTAATCCCGCCTTAGACAGAAAAGCTGGCTG